CTACCGGGCTAGTGATCCTGCTTCATTCAACAGCAAAATAAATAACTATTTGTGAACGACGCCTAACATTTTTAACAGTACGAAATAATTTAAAGGCGAAAATATAACTAAAGCGGCATTTCTTTGACAGCTCCAATTCCAGGCGACTGTTTAGAAACAGCAAAGAAAAAACTATTAAGCGAGGATACAGCAGTAGTATATAAAGCGAAAAAAAGAGCAGAAAGATTGAAGCACATTAAAGCTGAGTAAAAAATTTTAATTATTCAAACTTTACTCTAACGATGAAAGGGGTTAGCTATACACCTAAAATATTCTTCTACATTGAATCTTTTGTGAAAGTTTTGGGGAAAAGCCTCCCATCCTAGTGTAGGTCAGTTCTATTGCATATTTTTGAACGCCATTTTCTCTAGTTTAACAGATTTTTTAAAGTTGTAGTTTTGAGCATGTTAGCAAAGTTCTGATCCTTCCGAAACATTTGGGCAAAATTCTTACACAAGAAAATTTGAATAAATGCCGTTTACACATACAGTCAAAATGCGGATCACTTCTGACACATATGTTTCTAAATTATACACATATATAGGTTTTATTTGGAGACGGCCTATCACATGCCCGTCAAAGAGTCGGTCTTTTTTCATGCAGCAGGCTAGTTGCTGAGGTCCTGAGTGACAATTCATAAAATTTTATTTGCAAATTGCTGTTCAAAATTTTTTTTTAAAAATTCTCTTAATAAGTAATGAGAAGCTTACATAAATATTTTTTTGCTATTCCATGAATTAAAGCCTTTATCTATTTGTTATCTTCTTTAAAATGGCTTAATAAGTATTTCTTTCTCATAAAATTTAGTTGTTTTAAACAGTTGTTTTTCCCCAAGCTATTGCTGTTCAAAGGACGTTAGATGCATTCTGGTACTTTGGATAGAGGTTAACTGGTAAAAAAAAGTAAATTACGCTGAAAAATCAATGTAGGAACTTTCTTCGTTCACTGATACATTATCATTTGTAACGATACCAAAGAAGAAAAAAATATTTTTGTTGTTAACAGTAAACAAAGGAAAAGAAATGTCTTTTGCTCTTTAATTGGTCGGTACTGAATAAAAATAGTAGCTGTTCCACACAACATATGCCTTAATACTGCAAAACTCCTGCAGGGCTATCATTTGTTTAGATAGACGTTCTTTGCAGGCATTTCAACTTGTTCAGATAAATCGAGTCGGGATTTAAAATACAGCAAATAAATTTATATATATATATATATATATATATATATA